AACTCTCACCATGCAAAAGCTCAATAAGACAGAGATGAGTCTAGTGAATAGAAGAAAGAATCTACTAAGCTTTGGAATATCAGACCCACTGGATTGGTCCAAGGCTATGAAGCCTAAACCCACCCCCCTTGTGAACAGGAAGCTGGACGCTAATCCTTCTATGGTATAGTGTCCATTTACTCTGTAAACCAAGAAAGCTACTACCCTCGAATGCTTGGGTTCATCAGTCATAGAGCTAACACTGGGTTGCCCAAAGATGATATCGTGAGTTGTTTCTGCTGGGATGAGGAAGTAGACCACCACCCCAGGGGCATAGACCATCACAGCACGTGCCCCAGCACAACTTCAACCTCAGGTTGGGACATTTGAGCACCAGGAATGGGACGCAGGATAAATTCTCCATGTTGCTGCCAGCAGTGCTCTTAGTTCCCAAGTCGCACACGCCACCTGGAAGCTGGCCTGCCCCTTGATATATTTTTACCTAATGACCTCATCGTGTCTCAAATTTCAAACACGTGGTTCAGACTATCTTCAGGATTCATGCTCTAGTCATTGTACATGCGCTGGCTGGGATCACTCCACTGTCTATGTTACTGAGTTTTAAATACTCATTTGGCTACTGGCTTAGTTATTTAGCTAGGAAGCCTCATTTTCAAATCTTCAGTGAGCAAAATGGAGGTAAACCACACACCTATTCTATTGTTCTTGTCACCTTCTGAAGCAATCTGGAAGTCCTCTGCCTTGAGTCCCTCCATTGAAGTTGGACAATTGAAGCTACCTTGACATCCTGAAGTTATTCTGAATGTTTACCCTCCACGGTCACTCTGACTTGGGGAAGGTCCAGGAGTTGCCTGGAACTAAATCCAGTGAATAAAGTGGACGAGGCTAACTTTCCATGGGATGACACCTGGCAGCAGCATTCATTCTATCTTTCAGCATCACAACTTGCAAAGACACTCATGAAAGAGGACTTCCAGGATTGTTTCAGAAAGTGGCGGTCATGATGGCATAAGTGTGTTCAAAGTGATGGGGAGACTTCTGAGAGAGATTAATGGCAATGTGCCTTTTACTGTAATAAATTTTATTTAAGCATTCATTGTATGTTTTATCTTGTCTCATAAATATCACCTGTAGTGATAAGAAAATGTTATCATTACGATTATTATTGTCAGATCATGTATAAACTTAGTTGCCTTAGACAACCTTGAAGACAGAAACTAATTTTATCTAATCAGCTTAAACAGTGTCAGGCCATTCTGGGAAGACTCAAAAACTATATCTTGAATAAGATATACATTAAACACCTTCACAAAGCAAAGCCACAAATCTCCACCAACATACCTCTTCCCTTCCCTATTCCTTAAGATTGCCACGAGAGCCCTTCAGCAGAAGGCAAGCCTCTCATCCCCTTAGCACAGGCCAAGTTCACTTTCATCTACAACACACATGGGATCTTCCTGAACACACCACTCCCCGCTCTCTCAGTAAAGTAATTCTGCAATCTATAACACTCTAGAACTTCACCCACGGCAGACACCCGACTTGATGGTCCTTTCTCCATCAGCAGGTCCTCTTCTATATTGTCTATTGCTAGGATCTCTGTTCTCCAAATTTAATCTATGAAATTTCAAGGATTTGTCTGGAATTCTAAAACAAAGGGGACTGGGGAGACAGTTCAGTGGCACAAGCACCTGCCTGGTAAGTGCAATGTCCCAAGTTCACTTCCCAGCACAAAAACAAAAACAAAAGACATGGCAACACATGGAGGCTTTCTTCTGGCTATCAAAGGATACTGACTGGGGCTCTATGATCTATTTGGTTACCAGCAGAAGATTCATTAGAAGCTAAAATGCAGCCGGGGAGATGGCTCAGTAAAATAAGTGCTTCCCTGACAAGCGCAAGGGCCTGAGTTCAATCCCTGGTTCCAAAAAAAGTGGGGGGAGAGATGGCTCAGTAGAATAAGCACTTCCCTGGCAAGCTCCAGGGCCTGAGTTCAACCCCGGTTCCACAAAAAAAAAAAAGAAGAAGAAGAAGAAGAAGAAGAAGAAGAAGAAGAAGAAGAAGAAGAAGAAGAAGAAGAAGCAGCAGCAGCAGCTAAAATGCAAGCACATAATATCAGTCATGATTTCCCCAATTTTCCCAACAAAAGGCAATTGTTATGTATATATTTGGACAATCAGTAAAAGATGTTTCACCACAAAATTTGCAAGAACTTCGTAACATTGGAATTTCAAAAGATTCACAAGGAAAAGAATATCATTAAGATAAGAATTCTAAAAGAAAAGCCAGCAAACTGCAGATAAGAGCTTTCTTATTAATAAAATTTAAATCAAATAAATAAGAACTGTTAAAAGGAACATTATCTTAGCCAGATATTATGGCACACACCCGTACTCCCAGCTATTCAGAAGGCTGAGGCAGGAGCACTACAAATTTAGGGCCAGCCTGAGGTAACTTAGTAAGTCCTTGTCTCAGAATATGTTTTTACGTATTTTAAAGTTTAGCTCAGTGGTAAAGCCCTTGCAAGGCTCTAGGCTCAATCCCAAGTCTCCAGTTATATATACACACACACACATACACACATGTGCACACACACATACACCCATGCACACATACACACATGTGCACACATGCACACACACATGCACATAACAGGTTCATACATATGAAGATTCTAAGTCCACCCTCTTTTTATGCCCCCAAGCATCACCAATGATGGCTCCAGCGTTGGGGTCTACACCTCGTCCTACAGGACTTTCACAGGCAAAGGACAGCAGGAGAAGCTAGCTGCGAAAAACCCGAGTGCACCAAGAAGCAAAGTGAGCAGGTGGCACTGTGAAGTAGTAAATTTCCTGATCTTAAGCTACTTAATTAAATGTTAAACCAAAAAGGGAGATACGGGCTTTTTCCTCTCAGAAAGGAAAAAAAACAAGCGAATCACTTTTGTGTTTGTAATGAAGCAGGTCCACAGAGCATTTTCTGTAAATGTTAAATAATGATCACATCACATCAAATGTAAAAAGCCCTTATTACTTATTAGATAGATTCCTGGCTCACAAGAAGGCTTTTGCATGAGATTCTAGAAGGACCGCCTGAATGCTCTCTCATTATGATTCCCCTTCATTTGAAAAGGTGAGTATCTTCATCTCCACTTCAGAGTTGGGGGTTCAGAGAAAGGTTAAGCAAGTTACAGAAACGTATACTAAAAGTCAAAAAATGAGAGAGGCCAAAATTTGTGAGCCCGTAAAGATGAAAAGCCTCTCTTTGAAAAACTAAGCAACTTACCTAATTATTTTTAGGAATGTGCCTCAGATAAATACAGTATTTTATCCTGCATGTGACAGTCTAGAAAGAGAAATCACAAAATAATAACTGTGCTTAAAAAAAAAAAGTGTGATTTCCAGAATCCTTTCTATTCTCTGTAACCACCCATGTGGCTGGAGATTTGAAATGCTATTTAAGTCTCATTTCCTTCAGAAGCTAACCTCTGTGGAATAAAATGCTGTTGCGGGGGGGGGGGATCTTTTCTGTCATTTGACTTTAACTTATGATAAATTAGCTTCAACTAGTTTCTTAGAAAATTGCCCAAGAAATGACTACAGAAAATTAAATACCAAGACTTCAAAGAGGCAAACACACAGCCTTCAAATTCCAACCTCAGAGAATAATCTTCCCTTTCTCATGCTTCACAGAGATGTGAGTAAAGAAACCGTACTAGGGCATGGTAATGAACCATCTTTCAAATGACTTTCCTATCAATCTTCTTTTCAAAGGGTAATAAAGTGATGCTTATTTCTAGGTAGTTTCTGGGAAGTTATCATCTCATTTCAATAGTCACCAGCAAAGGACGCACTCTGGTGCTGCCATTGGTAGGGACGAGGACAGGAGCTGGGTGAGAATTCAATAGTAGGTACAGGAGGTTAAAAAGCTATTACTTAGAAAATTAAAGGAGAGAGATCAAAAGAATTGCGTTAGGTCTTAAGGAATTGGTAATCATTACATTCTATATTAAAAATGCAAATCTGATTTATTACCTCGTGAATGAATGAAATCCACTATCACTTGAAGGCTTCATTATTTTTGTTTTTTAAAAAAATGTACTGTTGAAAGTGTATTAGGTGCCACGCTTTGTTCTAGATGCTAACAACTGAATGTACAACAAGCCGTAACAGCAACATCTGGGTCATGACTTCTAGAACCAATTTTCACTCTCCTCTAAAATAACTGTCACAAACAACAAAAAGGTTTTAAAGCACTGGCTGATGGTTGGTGGGAAGTCTTAAGTCACCCAGGATGTGTTTCGCAAAGCCTCAGCAGTACTCAACACTGTGCAGGATTTCACTCTTCAGGAGCTTTAAGGTGACAAGGGCGAAAGTCACTACAGAGCATGCAGGCCCACAGAAAGAGAAGATTACACACTGGCTGCCCCGCAGGGAGTGCCCTGAATTGGGATTCTTCTCTGGTCTGAAGATTCAGATCCCATCTGTGATACAGGCTGTATGCTCAGAAATGGATGATGTGGTTCCTCAGGCATTCCCAAAAGAAGCCCGAGCTATGTCCTATTTTCCTTCATTCTCTTATCCCAATCTTGAATCTGCTCTCTGGGCAGGTAGGATCCGGGACCCATTGCCAGATTTAACATTTGCCCACACATTTCAAATTTTTCAGCACTTACTAGAAGTCTAAATGTGAAAGAAACAAAAACGCAAATGGGACAGTGAGCTTCCTGAGGACCACACTATGGTCACTGTCGCATCTTCGCTACTAACATGGTTCAGAAGAGGCACTTCATAAACTGCTGAACAAAGCTGACAGAATGAATGCACCATTCCCTTGGGATCACGAGTCACTCAGAGTCAAGAGTGTCACATCACGTGCAAGCAGCCCCCGGGAGCTTTGTCTATCTGCTCATCTTTTTAGAATGTCATTCTGTAGATTTTTTTTGAAATTAATAAACAGAAAAGCACATCAGAGATAACTGAAATCAAGTTGTATTTGCTTTTGAGTTCCACTGCAGGTAACAAGGATTGGATCAATAAATTGATGGATCTGGTTTGGTTCGTGGACAGGCAAACTCTGCTATTTCCATCATGTAATACAGCACCGATGTGAGCACCAAATACTTCTTATTGATTTACAGAACAGGATTAAACCCTCCCCCAAAACTCTATTAACTTTCTATCCTCATTACCAATGAAGAAATGAAACACAGTCCCTCCTTCCCACCAACACCGAAGCGAAGGGATCCAAATGAACCCTCCTACTGATGCAAACCTAGAAAAATCAGGTATGATTACTGGCCAATAAAACCTTTGGTTTTCTACCCCATGATACTTATTCCCTGAAGTACAACATCAGATTGCAAAAACTGAGACTTTAAAAGCAAGTTCCAAAGCAAGTCACCTGATATAAGGTTAAAAGATGGGTGAAAACTGTGGGAAAGCTTGCAGTAAGGAAATAGATGCAGGAGAGGAAAAAAGGCCCCCTCCCAGTCCCTCCCTTCCACTTGTGTGCAAAGCACATGCCTGTTCTGGGGTCAGGTGACCTCTCCCAGCAGGCAACAGGGACAGGCACACCACACATGTGCTATGCAGGTCGCCTTCCAGGGACTTTTGCTTCGAGCCGCAGAAACCAATGACAGTTTCAGCGTGGACTGAAGTGACTGGAACTCCACAATTGGTGGACACAAGCACCCGAGAACCATGCTTTCAGGCGCACTACCTCACCACTCACCACAGAGTAATTTACCCTGTATGTTACATGCCCAGTTTTAGGAAAGACAGTGGGGCTCCACATAGTGATGGAGTTGACTCTCTGATATTCCTGAGCTTAAGGGTAAGGAACCCTTTCTTAAAAACTTCCAGTTTTTACTCCTTATTCTCATGTTAAAATAAAATTTTAGAACAGAATATAAGAGCATTAGGTTTAGCTGCCCCTTTTTCTTTCATTCAGAGCAACCTGGAATTCTTGCGTCCCAGGATACTGCTCGTTCCCGGCTAGATTTCTCCAAGCCACTTTCTAAGGCCACTCTATGACTCAGCAGTGGACCCTTATCTGTGCACATCACCCTCCTCTCATGGTTTTCCCGTTGCTGGCTTTCAAAGCCTTATACTGCTAGAAAGGAAAGGAGAGGCACTCAAACAACCTTTTAATGTACATATAGATACATAAGTACAGTCTGTGGGTGAGTGGTGACTAGCAACAGGGGCTAAAGTCAACACACACAGCAAGAAAATAAATTAAATTCATCCTCCTGGTTCTTCAGTGCACAGGATCCTGCTCCCAGGGTTCCAAGTACCTGGGGAGAAAGCAATGAGGTAAAGACGAACAGTCTCGCCAGCTGAGTCACCTAGTATCTTCTTGTAGACCCTGAGGATGTGCAGAGGTCAGTATCTAGGTGAACCTGAACCTCCCAGACTATGGAGGTCTCTGGGCAGGGTGAGTGGTGAGGCTCAGAGCCCACAGAGGCCCCCTTGTGAGACCACTCTTCCAGGGGCTCTGACGTCATCCAGGCTATGCCAATCGATCTGTATCACCACAGAGTTCCTGCCAGAGTGGGAGGGGAAGCCATCATCTTCACACTCCTCTCCTTCTCAGAGTCGTGTTTGGTCTTCTGGGGAACTTCCATTGGTTAGATTCCCCTCAGCTGATTCTGTGTCCTTCTCGAGTTTAAAGTTGGAATTTATCCTTCCAGGAGAATAGTCATTTCTTTTTAAATCTGTAAACAACACAAAACAGTTTCAGGAGCATCCCAAGAACAAACTGATCCCAAGGACTTTCAACTGTGCTAGGTGTTTAGGAAGGTCTCTACTGCTCAGGGCCATGGTTTCTGGAAACCAAGCCCTCAACCAAGTGCAATGCCAGGGCCTCACCCAACTCAAGGCAGTATGTGTGGCCCTCACAGCCTCCTGCTACTGCCTAGGTCATGCAGGAAGGGAAGAAAGATTTTGATTTCCTGGGTTCAATTTTCTGTGGAAAAAGCTATTCCTCAAGTCTGGCGCCACTCGGAAGAGCCTCATCCAATTCTCAGGTACAGTTTCCTAAGCCCATCCTCCTCCATTCAAGAAAAATCAAAGCTTAGGTCCTCCTGGTTCCTAGCTGATCAGATGCAGTCCTTTGTGTTCAGAACAGAGGCTATCCCATGCAGGGTTCAATAAATCCAGCTGGGAAGAGATCAGTACCTGGAGACACTGAGGTAACCAGTGAGACTCCAACTTGCAACCATGAGATAACTCAGGTATTTGCTAACTTCTACCCATCTTAGGGTCCTTACCTGGAGGTCCCAGTACTCCAAAGGCCAGCCCCAGCCCCCTGGAGTCTTTCTGATCAAAGAACAGGCAGAGGCACCAGGTGCCAAGCTCGTTGCAAGTCTGATATATGATTTGTGACATGGACTCCTGACTGGTTACTGGGGTTCTGGTCCTCTCCTCCTTGTTCCATTTTGATCACTCAATATGGACCCCCACCATCCCAGCTGATGTGCTATATCCCTCTGGACCTGCAGACCTAGTATTTTCCTAAATCTTGCTCACAGACGTTCCCCTGCCCTCTAGCTCCAATAGAACTAGAAATTTCCCCTCCCTATAATAAATTTTCACCCACTCCACCCAATATTACAATCAGGGTGTGATAATGTTGAATTTGTTGCTACAGCTGCTATCCTTGTTGTTGAAGACAGGGTCTACTATGTTACTCAGGCTGTTCCTGAACTCCTGTGCCCAAGAGATCCTGCTGCCCCGCCAGTAGCTGGGATTACTGCACCTGGTTCAAGGATATTATAATTTTTTTGAAGCAGGAAGGGCTACTCAGTCTGGACTACATGCACTTCTGGGGAAGAGCAAGTTTGCTGTGACCTAGGTAGAGAGCAGGGAAACTGGAGCAAACACCAAGCGACCCTCTGAGGCAAAGCAAAAGAGCGCAGTATAGCAGGAGCTGCCAAGCTCCCTGACCTCCAGCTGTGCTCTTTACACTAACCACATTTTCTATGGTGGTGACCGTGGTTGCAGAGAACATGCGCCATGCTACCAAATTGCTTGTCAAAAATTTCAATGTGTAATTCCAGAGGTGGACTTTTTTGGCGAGGCTGTAGCTTAGAGACAGAGTGATTGTCTAACATCGGAAAGAAACGCAGTCTCCAGCTCCACCAATATAAATAAGCACACACAGTGGCAGGTTTTCCCAGTGGAAAGCACTACTTTAATTCACAGCCTATCAGTCCCCTCTTGGTCCCAGCCCACCAACTGTCTGATGGGCAAGTTAGAAACATGACGGGTATCACCCATGGGTGTGAGCAGGTCTCAGAGTGGACCGATTTCGCCCCATCTAAGTCAGTGGAACTTTTCTCTGAAAGTGACTGTGACAAGTGTCAGGCCCCGTGTTGTTTTATCACACTTTGGCAGGACCTAAAGCAAATCCCTGTCCTTTTAATCCCTTTAAATTCTCGAAAGTTTTGCAGTCAGAAAGTCAGGCACTTCGAATGACTGAGAATGAGATAAAAATGCGATTAAGATTTTCTGCCCAGTTACAATGGATGTTGTTCTATGAAAGATTTCCTTAGAGCAAAGCAGAACTGTCTGTGCCATACCCGGGAGTTTGAGTTTCCGGCAGCAGGAGTTGCAACGATGTTTTGCAATGAAGTTTCTAATTGCGTCTTCCCCTAAATTGGCTGGCCCAAACACCATTCCTCTTGATCTAGAGGAAATAGCAGAATATCAATTAGATTACAGCTGAAAGAAAGGAGCTCAACTAGGATTCTCTGAGATACCGAACAGTATCCCGTAGTAACCCAGTAACTTGAAGGAGCCAACAAAGAACAGAGTACTTTGGGGAAGTAACAATGTTAGGTTTGCAAATTTAAAATTCAAATGCCCTTAAATCTTTGTATCCAACTCCAAGACCTACTGTGAAACTCAGTTCAACACTAATCTGATAGAAGAGTGAATTTTCTATGTACCACGTTTAAAAAAAATGCAGCGAAACCCTTTTAAATGCATATGGGGTGAGAGAATGACATTCATTACCAAATGTTCTTCTAGGATACTGGAAAGGTAAGGTATAAAGTAAAGTAAACTTGCTTCGGGGGCACATCTTCTAAAAAGTGCTTTCCAGTGTGTTCAAGCGCTACACTTTTCTTAAAGTAACCATCCTCAAAAACAAATACCTGACTGAACCCCCGAGCCAGCCTCTGTGGCTTCGCGAGAGGCACTTTGTACTCTGCAAACTCTGTAACGGGGCTGCTTGTGGAACAAGACTATTAGTGTGTTTGTGAGCTAAACCACATTCGCTCAATGCAGGTGACATAATTACGAATAGTATCAGCGTCTGCAAGGTATACTTCAAATATCCTATCATTACACTAGATCCCTGGCAGACCGCAGGCTCACTGGTCACCCATCACAGTACCCTCCACAGTACAACCATTCTTCTTCACATTGTGACACTCCGCACATCGCAGACCACCGCACGCCAGGAACACTTCCGAAGAAACTTTATGGAAGCTAATATTTTATTTTAATGACATGCAGAGTGGAAACAGCACATTTTAAAAGCTGAACTCAATTACCACTCTTAAATACCACGTCTTAAGAAAAAAGCAAAGCAAAGTATCACAAAAGGAAACAATAAACTTCACTTCTAAGGAATGCGGTTTTTCAAAAGGGACATGGTGTAAAGACGGACTTTTTCCATCCAAGTATTGAAACATTTATCTCAATTTCCACTTCCTTTTGGCAGAAGAATAGTAGCGCCTCTGAAGAAGTGCCAAGCTCAGAGCAAGGGCTGATGTCAGTTTGAGCTCGGGTTGCCTCTCTGCAATGCGGCAAGGAGGTGGAGGAAACCTCTTGGGAAGGCAGAGCGGAAAGACACTTGGGGATTAGCTTTCCTGGTCACTCAGTCGCTCCTACAAAGGACAGCTCTGGTGGCATTTACTCTGCTGCATAAGCTGCCTCTTGTTAACGCTGCCTCTCTCGGTCCATCTGGTAAGACATCACTTCAATAAGGTGAAACTGAAGGTGGCGGAAAAGTAGACTCACTCGGTATTTAGACCAGAGCTCTCTAAAATGAAGGTGTTAGTGTAGTGGCTCACGTGGACGAATTCCTGCTCACAGTCTCTCCAGCATGACCTTCCTGGACTACCTCACTTGTCTGCATCCCCTACCACCCTTTCTCTCCTCCCAGTAAAACGGGAAAATTCCCATCTTAAAGACACAACATTGATTCTCATATAAAATCAGTAAGCTAAATCATTCCTCCCTGTGAGCTTTGTGTAAGTTGAGACAAAAAGATGAAAGTCACCCCAAAATATGTCTATTGAGGGTCAGACAAATCCCCGTGCAAGAAAGAGAAGGGGGTAAAGTGACACATATTTGCACCCATACCCTAGAGCATGCCTACACATTTGCTGTCTCAGACAACTAAGTTTTTAAAACTAAATAAAATACAGCTAGCTGTTCTCCAGATTTTTCGCAACACAGGAAAAGCAGGTGGTAGGTAGCTTGGTCCCATGTGCGAGAAAACGCTGATTAGTGCCAACCATACACAGACTCACTAACGAGCATCTCACCATCTCTTCATACTCGTCAAATGCCCAAAACTATCAAGAGAGTAAGCTACGAAGATATGATCCCAAACCACCAATAAACAAGAAGGTGAGGCAAAGGTAAGGGACAATTGGCCAAGTTAAGAAACAACAGGCATCAGAAACAAAATTAGAATTTATACCACATAAACACTTTCTCTTTTGAAAGGGAACTATTCCCTTGCCCTGACCCCTTATCCTTCTAGGCAAGTTATGATCTCAGGGAGGCTCAGCTTTCTCATTTGTGAACTAGAATGGAAAATGCTTATGTCTCATGTTGCTGCTGAGGCTAAAATAAATGACATACACATGAGCACTAGCTTCTCTTGGTACCTCTCAGCCTCTAACTTAGACCAGATTGCCAGAGGATGATGTGAAAATTCAGATTCTGGTTGGGTAGGTCCAGGGAGCATGTGGAGAATCTGCATTTGTAACTATCTCTTCCCATGCTGGTGATGTTGGACCATGGCCCACACTCCAGGTAGCAAGAGCTTCAAACCCAGAAGGCATTCGAACACATGAGCCTCGTTCAACTCATTAAAGTGAACTGAACTAGTCATGAGACAGTTCTTATTATTGCCACTATCAAATCCAACTGCATCCCAAATTGGGTGACCCCACACAATCAGGCAGGCCACAGTGACATCATCTTGTTTCCAGCATCCCATCCTTAATTCCTAGAAAATAGGTTGCTATAAGACAGAAACACTGGACTTCTCAATTCTGATTGCCCACAGAATAACATGGGGAATTTTTACAAAAACAGAAAAATGGCATCAGGGCCCTATCTGCAGAAATTCTAACTATAGACCAATTTTGAGCATTTTTAAAATTTTCCCAGTGACCCTAACAGAAATCTAGACCTGCTGCCTACAGAAAGCAATTAAATATGTAACTGTCAAGTGGAATTATACAATCTTAGAATCCTGGACAATTGACTATTCAGGTCATATTAAGTGATATGTGCCAAGGCCAAAATGTAACGAATGATAGACAGAGTATACATAAACTTGGTTTATTATGTATGCAAATTGTTTCACTGAAAAATTATAAAGTACTCAGAAGAAGGCTCCTACTGCACACCTTTGAGCACATGGGACTACTGAAGAAATAATATTCTTAACTGAAAATACTGTGGCTTGGCTGAAGCAAAAAGAATATGCGTTTATGTGTACCCTGAGGATTACAGTATGAACTTCATAGTCAAATAATCATCATAGTCATATAAATAATATGGATCATCTTCTCCTCTCTAGCTCACCTACACCAGTCAAATATCTAAAACACTTCTAGTGGATGTACCTCTGTTCTACATTGAAGCTTAAGGGTGGGATTGTAGTTAGGTTTAATAAAATGGCTCAGGAAAAAAAAAGAGAGTATTGGAGCAGTGCACATCTGTACAGTGAGTTCTAGAGAAGAAGTAAAATTTTCAGATTCTACTGTCAGGGCTGCCCACTTACGTAGTTTTATACATCAATTTTACCATCCATGGGTCAGGTATATATAGAATGTATGATGACCAAGAAGTAGCAACGCTATGTGTGAGCATTTCTCAACATAGTTACGGCATCAGAATTTGCTAGGAACTTGTTTGGGGTGCAGATGACTCAGCCCCCTCTAAGCTGCTGCATCAGAAACGGGTGGGGGCGGGGCACCAGCAGTTGGTGCTCAAGTAGTTATCCCAGTGACCATGGTGTAGACTTCCACTTAAGAACCACCACTGTCTGCCATATTGATCAGTCCTCAACTGCCATCATCACTGCTTTGGATTCCACCTGTGACAGAACCACGCTGCCTTGGATCCCTTAGTGGCAAGTCTTCCTCTGAGCTTGCCAGTGGGACAAAATACCCTTAGGAATTCAAGGCAGAGGACGCATTCCTCTATACAACTGTGGCTTCCAATTAAGTCATCCCACCAGTGCTTCATGGGTAAAACTCATTGTCTTGACCTCCCTCTTAGAGCTTTGTCATGTGTTAAGTCTGCAGTTTTCATTTTGTAAGCGTGTGATGAAAGATGCTGACCAGGGTAAGATGCAAGGATGCCATTGTGAAGACAGCAAAGAACGCTGCTTTTCCTACAACACTAATTGTTTTCATGTTCATATCAAAGCTTGTAGAAGCTAAACACACGCAGATTTCTCTTTCTGTCTGGGGCCTCCTAGAAAACTGTGCTGAATTTGCGATGCATTTTGGCTATTGCATTTATTGTTTCCATCCACGTATTCCAGCCCAACTCCAGATTTAATTTTATTTCATTTCCATGTTTTCTTTCTACCTCATATCACAATCTATACTTTTAAAACTCTTATTATTTTAGGTCCATATATAAAAGCTGCTTGAAGCCTTTCTGAGATTTTAAGAAAAGCCTATGCTTATAAATTATTTTTAAAACATGCCACTTAGACATTATGCAATGTACACATGTACTGAAATACCACATGGCATCCCACTAATATGTACAATTCTATGCTTTTGTGTTTTGAAATATAAGTTTTAAAAACATAAAAGGTAAGCAGAATTTTTGAAATAATAGCACATAAGTGGACTTACTGTTTGTCTTCAGGTTTTATAACAGATGGATCTGTCAGATTTTCTCCAACACCTCAAAAGAAAAAATAAAATTCATTTTAGCAATGGGGTTTTCATTTTCATAGAAATTTAAGAAAATAGTAATTTTACTTTTTTTCAAGTTTACATTTACCTTGCAGTAGATCAAACATTGCATGAATTGAATGTATTATAAGAATGGTCTAGGAATATTTGAAAATTTTAAATACTGCATTTTTGCAACCTCGTCTGTTAAAATAAATTTGCAGGCATGTAACATCAAGAAATGTTTTAGTGTATACCATAGTATATACCAGTAACAAATGAATGACCAATTTATTTTCTCTAATGCTGAGCAATTACAAAAGAAAAATATTATCCTCATTTTACAGTTTGACTTTGTTTGTTTTGAGATGAGTTCTCACTACGTACTCTAGGCTAGCCTTGAAATCACTGAGTTGCCCAGGCTGCCTTCAAACTTCACAGTGATCCTCCTGCCTCAGCCATTTGAATGCTGGGATCACAGGAGTGCACCACAATGCCCAGGTTCATTTTACATTTTATCCTCCCTTTACCTCAATGAGAAAAACGACATTCAGAGTATAAATTTGCCTGAGGTTGCTCAGGCCATAATGGTCAAAGCAGGAATAAGCATGGGCAAAGCTGTGTTCCTCCCGTGGTCCATGGCCCCTTTCATGGGCTAGTCAGTGCTCGGCAAGCACTGTACGGATCTGCAGATCCAGTCTCTGCGCCATTACAGAGACACACCAAAAGCTACATATGTGGCTACTTTCTCTTAATTCAATGAGAAGAAAGATTTGTACTAATAGTGTTTGGACAGGATATCATGTCCGCATCTTGTACTATGAATAACCACTAAGAAGACAACAATATGCAATGTATTAATTACTGAATTGGTCCTACTAATCAGTTTTGAAACTGTCTTGTTTTTTGTTTCTCAATAAAATTAATTAAAAAATAAAAAATTATTCAAATAAATAAAGAAATAAGCTTTTCCCCTAAGAAACTAATTTCCCTAGGAAAGTAACTTAGAACATCCAAAAGCTTGAAGTAAAAATATTCAACATTTTTGGTCACAATGTTCTTTACCACTCTTCTCATAATATTGTTTTAATATAATATATAGGATAATGAAGAAAGGCAGTGATATTGGTAGTTACATAAAGATTCCTTTTAAAGTGCTCTATTGTAGCACACATGCTTCCTCGTTAATACATTCAATGACAGGCTCTAGCCCAGGTCTACTAATTACTGTAACATCTAACAAGTGACAAGCATAAACAGTATTTTGAGGTGTCTGCCAACATTCCAATGAGCTATATTAGCATCTGTTCTATCTATCACAAACAGCCACAAATACTATCACTGAAGACTGCACTCTAGATCATAATTGAATAAAATGATGAATCTAAGTTGCAGGCTGATTAAAACAAAGCTTAACATATTTTATCATCAAGATCCACAGACTCTGAATTCTACTCACAAATGCTTTGCAAAATTCTTGACTTAGAAATTCTTCACACTCATTTTGAATAGGGAAAGAAAAAACAAGGCTAAACATGGTTCAAGCAAAGTTCACAAAACAAGCTCTGCTACTAACTGCACAACCAACAAAAGAAAAAATAAACAGACTGAACTTCGTAAAAGCTTTTTTGCATCCAAAAGCATTATCAAAAGACCAAAAAGGCAAATTCACAGAATGGGAGAAAATATTAGTAAAGTACATATCTAGTAAGGGATTAGTACCTTAAAATAATGCAGAATTCCTAAAAGTTACCAGCAAAACCCCAACCAACCCAACTTACTTAGATATTTCTCCAAAGATATCAGAATTACCAATAAGGTTTTGGAAGGCTGCTCAGCACCACTAATTACTAGGGCAGTGCAAATCAAAGTTATAATGAAATACTACCTTAGGATAACTGCAATCTAAAAAAATGCTCGCTCATCCTAAGTCACAGGAATGGGCTGGGTTCTTTAAACTTTTGTCATCATAAATATAAGAAGGATGGCCTAGAGGGACCCTGACTTTCTAAGCACCAAGTAAACAAGGAGGACAACAGACAGAAGCATGCCCTCAATGCTATCTTTAGAGAGAGTGATGACGACGCATCCTTTACTCATTGCATCACACATCTAACTACAAGTCTGCAGCTTACAGCAACAATGAAACCTTGAGGGTAGTGGATGAGTAAGGCATACAGTACATGTTAGCTAGGAATATACACAGTAGCTAAGGAAGGAATGTCGACTGAGAAAGAGGAAGTTTTGTAGGGGAAAGAAAGTCTATGAACATCACATAAGCTCCTGTTTACTCTAAACCTTGTTGCTCGCTAGACACAGAACTCAGAGGATACAAGCTCCACTCACTGGTCCCTCACTTTCTAGGTGTGGAGCTGAAGTTTCCTGAGCCTCTCTAAAAGCCAGCATTGTCATCCAGAAGTGTGATATTTATGAGCTTTATCTTATAGCGCTGTGAGGATTAAATAAATTATTACACACACGTACCACTTAGCAAGTGACCCTAGAGAAGCTAAGAAATGTTGACTGCTATTTTTGTTATCTTTAGCCCATGAAGGGCCTCTTGTGGAGTGAAATTTTATTTTCCTGCTACTATAAAATTATGTTTCTGTTTATCTCATTTCCCTAAAGTACTTAAAAGAATGAAAGTGGGGGTGTAGCCCAGTGGCAAAGCACTTGCCTGTGTGAGGCCCTGGATTTGATCCCCAGTTTGGCAAAAAAAAAAAAAAGGAAGAGAAAAAGGAGAAAGAGGAGAAGGAATAGGAAGTGAAGAAGGAGGGTAAAATACACACAAACCATGTTAGCGCTTCAAAGCTTATTAATTAAATAGTCATATTGGCTCCCTCAAATGAAAGACGGGCCTTCCAAAGTGTGGGGGGAAAAGACACAGAGAGAGAGAGAATCTCAATGAACCCACAGCACTGTGACATCTACACTCACAAACATGCACTAATGAAAAAGTAAAACTGGTGCAAGGAGTCCTGCCACAGCACCATCGCCTCTTCCAGAGGTGGGTGAGTTCCCCATCTGGAAAGTGGGCCACAGCCCCTCCTGGCCTCACATTCTCCAGCAAGCACACGGCACGGACAGGAGTGAAACACTCTGACACCCAACAGCCTCACGGGTGTGTCTGCACCAGTTCTAACAGAGTAAGAGCCCGTCTACTCAGGCAATGTGACAAAAATGTAGAAATTCATACTGTGGTCATACTCAGCTTCGGATCAATGAGCTTCTCCATCTGCACAGAAGTTACCTGCTTTGTAGCTGCAGAACTCATGATGATGAAGGGGATCCTAATGCTGACTTATCCTGGAAACTGCTCTGTGAGTAAAAATGAATACCGTATCTCCAAAGGTCCTTTGAAAAATATAAGCTTAAAAGAAAAGTTACACGCCTCTGTGATTATAAATACAATTGTTTTTAATTTCCATTTCTTGGAATTAAATGTTGGGTTTCAAACATAATGATGATGAGTCAGGCTATCAGACGTAAGATTTTTTTAAGTAGAAAAAGACTGGAAAACTTCAATATAATTACAAGTGATGGGAAATTGGTCACGCCACTCCTCAGAGTTCCGCTTCCTGGTCTGGTGTGGCAGTTTCTGGGTTAGTGACCAGCACCCTCTTGGAAGAAAACAAAGAAAGAAGAGAAGAAGGAACTGAAAGGAGACTTTCTGCATGTCCCTCACTCTCTCTTCCCCTGAATGTAGGAGAGTGCAGAGGCCCACACCGGGCGAGTGGGTGCCCCACACTTGAAGCCTGGCCTCCGTTCTAGCCACATGGAGACTCACACTGATGCAACACTAACTGGTGTTTACTAGGGCTAACTCTAGGCCAAACCCAAAAGTCTCATCTCACTTTATCTTCCTAACCTAATGTTTTCAGTGCGTAGCACCTGTTCCCCCCTTCCAAAGGAGGGGATGTGGGACTCAAGGTATGACTCTTCCTTGGGCCCGCGCATCTAATTCCTAGAAGAGCTAATTCCTGGCCCTGCAACTCTGAAGTTCTGCTTCCCAGTGGCTGCCACCTCTCAACCTCCATGCCTACCACCTGGGTGACTCACATCATCTCTCCAGCAACTACAAACACAAACACGTTAAACACAACACAAAGCTGAACCTGAACCAATTAACAGATGTTGTAAATAAATCCTATGTCTCCCATTTTTCCCTTCCAGTCTGATTAGAATTAAATATGATAATGCACACAACCCTTTGGCCAAATGCCTGGCCCAAAATAAGTACTGTAGTACCTCAGCTCATGATCTTAATTCTTCCCATGTGGAACAAATCCTCTGACCAGAATCATAGAAAAAATTAAGTTTATGAACTGAGGTAGCACTGGACCTAGTAAATGTTAGCTACCACAGGGAGTAGTAGTAGTATGACTGTTGATAATTACTAGTGAAGGATTCATCCTTCACTACAAAGTCGAGTCCGGCCAATTAAACCTCTCTGATAAGTACCTCAAGTTGCGTCGTTTATTCTATGACAGCCTCTTTTTCCTTCTTTGAAGGTCAATATTTTGACACAGTCTATTTGGAGTGGCCTATTTCTGTAATCCACATAATTTCTCAGAAAAAGAACAAAGTTAATTCCCCTTTTCCCCCAAGACTCTCTATGCAGCATTTGTTCTCTTTAATGTCACTTTGGATTACTAAGAGACACAAAAAAACCTCACACATAAACAGCATTAAACAAAAGCCTATTCACGTGGAATACAAAACACACTGAAGAGTCACCATCATTAATTCTTTAACATTTTTCTTTGGTTGTTTTGTGGTGGTGGTTGTTGTTGTTTCTGGGATGTCTTGTTTCATTTTGTTGTGGGTTTTGCTTTGCTTTTTGTTTTTTAAACAACTCCACCCAAAACTCAAAGCACAAACACTCAAGTACAGATGAAAGCAATCAGGCTTTCCCCAGCTGCAGCTATGAAAACAGACTTCAGCATCCACACTCAGGGTCGATGTGGATCCAGGCCTTGCTGACTTAAAAAGCTGAGTCATGTTGGTTGATTTAATTTTGTTTATATTGCTTCCTAAAATATTGTGTTTGAGGGTTAGAAATATGATCCAAGCCTGCAAACAACACATATCTCAAAGGACATAGGATGTACATGTAGTTTAAAAAGTACTTATGCTATATATCCTTGAGCATATCACAGATTTCAAAATGATTCTGCAGTCTACCTGGACATTACCCCTGGTGCCCCAAGACTGTCTGATATCTCAGCATTCCCTAGCCTCCAACCCAGCTTTCAGCATAGAACTCCAAAACTCAAGAGCTGAGCAAGGCAGAGAGACAAGAGAAATGGCCAAATTGTTTAAATGAACCACAAGGTGGTTGGGTCCTCCAGGTATGACACTCTTGCCGAAATAAAAAACAGTACAGTGAAAAGCAAGAACACAGATGGTCAAATCAGCTTACATCTGTATCCTGGCTCTGAGTTAAGTAGCTGTGCACCCCCAGGCAGCTTAGTTAAACTTTCTGGGCCTAAATTCTCCACATCTACCTCCAGGTGCTATTTCTGGTATTAAATGAGATAACTTTTACGAAAGTTCCTGGGCTAAATCCCTTATTTAAAGCCAAAGCCAGTCAGGGAGCCCAAGGACTAAACTTTAACCTTAATACGTATTTCATTCTGTCCCCGCAAGGAAATCCTGCTAGAGACACTCTGTGCTGCAAGATTATGAGTCACATGTTAGGTGTACTGGTAGTGGGGAGATGTACTGATCAAAAGCTTCCATTAAAAAATAAAAATGCACTGTGTCACCTCTTCAGACAGGAGGTGTACTTTCCTGGACTGTCAAGGGACACAGCAAAGATGACCAACTAAATTATAAATGGCTAAGCAATAAACTCAAAATCAAAAACTAATCCACTATTTAAACTTTCCTATATTCATATACACATGCCTAAGCTTTGTTATGAACATAACAGTGAGGCAGAGCCATAAAGCAGGAAAAACTGGTACAAAAATCATTTCCCATGTAGTTTAACATTTTAGATGTTTTTAAACTTTAATCACCTGCCTATATTTTCCCCTCAGCTGAGTGGGGACAACATAGCACATGCTCGTCTGTACTGAGTGTCTCCACCCTTCAAAGTGAGAAAGAATAATTCTATACCTTGCCTTCCTGGTTCTCACAAGATTTCTTTGAGCTTTGCCTCATAGCGTCAAGTCCTAAGTCATCAGTTACCTTGCAAATCTAAAACCAGCAGCTCTCCCCTCGTGTACTCATAGGTCCAGTGAGAGAAAGCCAACATCAGTTCTTCCAGGGTGTTGCTGGGGTCTATTTCATCTCCATTGTTGTTGTTGTACTTCCGGAACTCCCCTGTCATATACTTCTCAATGGTCAGCCACTGGTTAGCTGAATGGCAGTAGACTAACAAGACTTCCAGGAACCTTGAGTGAAACAGAGGCCATTGGTCCTTCACAAGGCAGCAAATGTGGGACTTGCCTTACAAAACAACTCTTTGACAAGAGAGATCACCTCACTCTGTCCCTACTTCCCCTGGTGAACTTGCCCTTCCTATGAAAAGGAAGGCATGAACATATAGGAAGGATGTTTCCCGTGCTTTCCTGGCCCATCACTTTGAGAAAACTTTCCAACTCTTTCATGATTACCAGACCCTATTTTTTTTTTTTGTCATGCTCTATAAAGTTTCTTGTAGAAGAAGCAATAAAGCTTTCCTCTAAGTCCTCAGCACCAAAGTACAATCTACCTTGATAAACGAACACATCTATAGAGAGAGATACCCAAATGAAAGAAAGAAGAGTTCATTCTTACAGAGCTCCTGATTTCTTTAACATACAAATGGGGGAGGCATGTTTAAACTAAAAATATTCTCTCTCAAGGTCTGCTTGTTACACATAATCGAAATATCCATCATGGCATCAGCCTGAAATTTTTTTCAATCACATAAGTTCAATGATTTAAGCCAAGGTATCTCCAGGTTATCTGATTTTCTTTTTACCAGTCTCCATAACTAGGAAGAAAGAATTCCAAAATAAAAACATCACTAACTTTCCCATGGGTCCTGTGGTCCTCATGACTAACAGGCTGAGAAAGATTAATAGGAATTTCTACTTAAGAGGAAAGGCCAGAGTGCCAGGATTTCCTTACCTTGGTGTGTAGGGAATGGTTTGTGGTTTCACTTGGTTGAAGGTATAGATTAGTTTCTGAGCAGCTCTTTGCTGCTGAATCTCCTACAAAGTGAAGAACACTGATAAAAATATTGGTTGGAATAACCCATACTTAGCAGTCAATGACCATGGAATTACTAAAGGCTGGCTTCGTGTAATTGCTAACTTTATTTGGCTTCCACTACTCCATACCCCCAAACCGTAGCTCCTACAGAACAAAAATAATAAAGCTACAACCTTCAAATCATACTTGAAGATCCTGGTCTTGGATACATGTGGCCACATATCCCTTCTTGGACCTGTCCATCAGGGCTCTGAGCCTCCCAGTTCCTGGCTTACCCGGAGGCATAGGTGAAGCACCGTACTCTCCTGGAAGATGTCATGCCAAGTCTGTACCACCTCAGGGAGAAAGGACTTCACGATGAAAACCTGTCCTGGCTTGAGAACGTCGTCCTCAGACCAAGTGCTGATGACTTTCATGGCTTTGCGGAGGCCCCCATCGATCTCCTCCTGGGACAGCACCTGGATCATCGCAGCCCTCCCATGCTGGGACCAGGAGGACATGCTTTTGTCAAGGTTCAGAGGGGAGCTCTCTTCCAGCCTGTAGATTGTCACTTCTTCTCCCGCTGCAGAGGGAAGTGAAAGCGTGGAGGTCAGTGAGATCAGCAGGCCTGGGATGGGAAGGCCCAAAGATCTGCTCCAAAGAAATTCAGCTGTCCCAAAATCTAAGGAGAACAGGACCATTGGGGACTAGAGAAAAATAAGAACCTAGATCATGGCATTTCTATATCTAGTAGAGATGGAAGAGGATCAAGAGACAAAGTATTGGATGGCATCCAAGAATTAAATTATTCCTTCCATTGACTGCAACTGAACAAAAACATCATCAATATAAAAAAGATGTCACTTTTGGTAAAGACAATTTTTCTTTCCTTTTCCAATTAGATCTCATTGATCTTTTAGGTATACACAATGATCACATTCACTATAGAGAATTTGGCCCATACATGATATAAACTGATTCTTTTCCTACTCCCCTACTCTCCCTCTAACCTCCTCTTCCCCTTCCCATTTACCCAAGCTTTGTTTTCATTTCTTTCCTTCTATTTATTTATTTACTTGGTACAGGGTCTCGCTACACAGTCAGACTTGTTGTCATCCTCCTGTCTCAGCCTCCCCAGTACTAGGATTATAGGTATGTGCCACCATGCCTGGTTTTGGTGGCCGGCACGGCACACCTGGGGTTCTGAGGCTGGAACAGCTCACAGTACTGGGGATCGAACTCAAATCCTGAAAGGCAGACACTTAGACTGCTGAGCTATCTCCCCAGCCCTCTTTCCTTCTTTTTTCATTGTTCTAAACTTTTCCCTTCTTTACTTTAGCTCTCCCCACTCTGTCCCTCTCCCCATTTGAATATTTTTTTCCTATTTCATATATATTTTAGTCCTTATTTACACTTTTGTTCTCTCATACCACAGAAATAATGCAGCATTTAAACATGTCTGTCTGATTTACTTCACTTAAAAGCATGGTCTCAAGGTACATCCACTTAACTACAAATGTCTAGAGTTTTTCCTTTTTCATGGCTGGATTGTACTCTATTATACTAAAAAAAAAAAAAAGCACACACATCTCTTTTTTTTTTTTTTTTTTTTTTTTTTTTTTTTTTTTTTTTTGGTGGTACCGGGGATTGAACTCAGGACCTTGTGCTTGCCAGGCAAGTGCTTATTCTACTGAGCCATCTCCTCAGCCCCACATCTTCTTTATCCATTCACCAATTGATGGGCATTTGGGCAATTTCCAAAATTTAGCTATTACCAAGTAGAACAGCTGCTATAAACATGGATGTGCATATATTGCTGGGGTATGATGCTTTCAATTCGGGAAGATAGTAAGAAAGAAAATATCTGGGCCAAATGGAATTTCTAGTTTTTTGGGGTTTTTTTTTCTAGAAATCTCCATGCTGATTTCCACAGTGGTTGCATCTCTCTGTACTCCCACCAACAGTGGAGAAAGGTTTCTTCTCCTCTGTAACCACTCCAGCACTTGTTACTGGTTGATTTCTTGATAATAGTGATTCTTTTGGGGGTGAGATGGAATCTTGGCATTGTTTTAATTTGTATCTTTCAAGTGACCAATGATGTTGAACATGTTCTCATATATTTATTTCCTGTTTGCATTTCTTCATCTGAAAAATGTATATATATCTCAGACACCCGTTTTTAGATTGGGTCTTTAAACTTGGGAGATCTGATTTTTTTTGAGTTCTTTATAGATTCTAAACAGTAGTCCTTTGATAGACAAGTATTTTTAAGGAAACAGATTAATCTAGAATAATTATTCATTACCATCCTCAGGGCTGGGGCTATAGCCCAGCAGCATAAGCACCTGCCTGGCAAGTGCAAGGTCCTGAGTTTGAGTCCCCATATCAAAAAACTTGATGGACTATGTATGTATCTATGCTTTATGAACTAAAAATCAGAAGGTTGCCTTTGGTTTGGGTTTTATTTTGTTTCTCTTTTAGTTGTGGTATTGTCTCACTGAGAATACAAGGTTTTAGTGTGAAGTTGGAGTCAGACAGTACCAATGTCACACCCACAGCCTTTCCTTCCCTCCTTCCTTGTGCCTTGGGATTAAATATGTATATCCTCAATTTCCTCATCAGTAAAATGAAGATGAAAAGAATATCCGCTGCATTAGGCTGTTTTAGATAGTAAGTATATGAACATGGGTAAAATGAAATAGAACTCAGACACAAACTCAATCCCACTGAAAAGATTTTTCGACACAAGATGTTACTTCAATGCTACGCAGCCTCCACTTTTAGGTGACTACACTAAGAGTAATTTCTGTTGAAGTGCAGTCCTCCAAGGCAGTGCTAATGCTGCATAACAGAATTTATACACAACTTCCATCCTAATGGTGGCATTTTCTCTTTACATTTGTGCTTCCAATGTTTGTTTTGTTGTTATGGTAAATTCTGTATTGAACCACCAAGAAAGGAATTCATCTGTTCCCTCACCCTTTTATCTGATTCCATACCAACAAACATGTCTAGGCAATGCTGAGTAACATATTTTCAAATATCCATCCTTGGTACCCAAGATAAATGCTTGCCACCAACAGCCTCTGGAGTTCTAATCCCAGGAGGATTTAGAGCAAGGCTATTGATTTGCAAAACCCACTGTGGAGCCAAGTGGAAGGGAAAGCATCTGCACCAACAATCCAAAGCCAACCCACTCTCTCCCCATTGAACAATGTGAGGAGAATTGAGAGCAGGGCAGTGGAGGGACCCTTGTTACACTGTCAGTCAGCTCCAGCATTATACTGTTGGACAGAGAAACTCTTGTAGACTTGGCTAATGCAAACTTGTTTTTCTTTTCTATTCCAACCTTTTAAAAAAAACAACACTTGCAGTCTGAAGTAAGAGCAATTAGTGTATGTGAAATAAAACAAACAAATAAAAAGCAATATACAAAGCGTTGCTCTTTGGATGCTTGTTGCCGTTCACCACAGTGACGCCTTGCACTTTCTTCTGTGCCCGTCCTGTCGATGGTTGTGTTTCTTTCTTACATACCTCCAGCCTCCAGCCAGGGACCTCCAGGTGCAGGGCTATAGCTTTCTTCCCACATGCTGCCTGTCACACACACCCATTTCCACAGTATCAAGCTTTGAACCTCCCCCACCAACGCTAGCCATCACATTAACAAGTCTCCTTTTTAGTAAACAAATCTCACTGAGCTATACTTGCAGTCAAAATGAAATTTTCAAGTAAAATAATGCAACATGATTTCTCCTTTGATTTACTCAGATGTTGCCACCCGCCTCCCCACCCTGGCATAATCTCAAGAAGATAGAAAAGCTACTCACCGAACAGCTGGATGGGTGTAAATGGTATGGTCTGAGAAAGCCTCATTAAGTTATTCCTTTCAATGGCTGTGAACAGAAACAGATTTATTACTTCAAGTCTGCATCACTGGGTTAAATCTACAGAAGCGCCTTGCTTCACTATATTTATATAACACCACAATATTTTATTCCAAACATTTTTTATTTTTGTCATTACCAAAAACATTATCCATAATACAGTTTGAAATATAAACTGAGCTTTAAACCAGAAGGATATCCCAATGTTAGGAATATTTCACAGGAGATTAAGGACTGTCTATCCCCCCCCCCACACACACACACACACACTTGCTCAATACTGACTCGTATGTGTGTGGAAATTTCTTCTAAACAGCATTTTAACCCACAGTCTTTACCCTGTTTTTCTTTTTCCAAAGCACTGTGGACTGTTGGGGACACCTACTGTTCATCTTTCACAGTTCACTTTCTTTTCTCCCACATAGAACTGAAGACTAATGTTAATGATGAGCAAGTGATCTGCATTTTCTTGTTTAGGGCCACATTCTAACAGATCAATCAGTATGACTTACAGAAATCCTCACTAGAGTCTTTCTTAAATTGACAGCTAGTGTCAAAATAACAGATTACTGCTAAACTAAAAGACTCAATAATAAGATCTTAAAATCCACTAAAACATTACTCACTCCAGGAAATAATTCAGGATAAAGCAGCTTATCACTGGACCCTAAACACAAGACCCTGATATGGTAAGTACAGTAATTATAAGGCCAGTGAGGTCTTACTTATGTCCCAAGCTTTAGACTGTTGGAAAGTCCTGACCTTGTATTATCTCATCCTGTTCTGAAAGCAACACCCCCAAGAAACCCCAAATGGCACAAGTCCAGTTGGTTGTTATATTGCTTTGCACTTCAAAGCATTTTCCTCTTAACTCTCAACTAGTCCTTTGGCAGACGGCTCCTCGGGAGGACAAGTATAATGATTCCCACCCTGAAAGAAAGACAACTCAAGCACTGTGAAGTGATCTTACTTAAGAGAGTCAAGACCCTTGACATCTTTGTTTAATAACATCTTTGTTGAACTTGTTCTGTGGGGCTGGCATCTAATCAGTATTATGTTCAATGAAGCCTCCCTTACAGAACTACTTTTGGGTCTGTCTTTTCCTCAGTTCAAACACTAAGATCTCTAGCAGCCAGCTGGCTTAGAACTCACAAGGACTTTTCAGGACTCAAGGTCAGCCTTCTTCACAACTTAGAACTTGTCAATACACTTTTCTGTTTGAATCCAAACACTCATAAATCTTAACAACTTGCTTTCTTAGGTCAATGTCAAGATGAGAAATCTAAATGTTCCTTCCATGAGAATAAACAATTTTCCAGGTTGGGACCCATATCAAAAATAAGGACTTTATCAGTGTTCCTGTTGACAAGTGCAGACCCACAGACATTCAGCTTGGTGAACCTGTCTATGCACACACGCTTCCTACCTGAATAATGGTGGTGTGGCTCTGGAGGGCTTTTTAAAGATGCTGAGATCTCTGAAATTATAGAGAAGATTGACATTTTAATTACTTGGATGGAGATAAATACATGCGTATGAATATATTGCCTTCAAAGTTATTATTGAACAGGTTAATCAGAATGGCTCTTCAATATTTGAAAAGCTTGCCTAATATCCTTTAACCATATTATTGCACATGGTGTTCTGACAGCTTCCAATCATCAATGTAATATCTCCAAACATATTTATACAGGGAATTGGAGAAAGACAGGTAATATTAGCCTCAAAGATGTATTTCCTCTGAACCAATTACACCTCCGGGTTGCAGGAGGCACTCGGCTGCCCATCACACTTCATGACACCCCAGAAGCATGCTCCTCCGAGCTCCCTACCAAGATGCAGTACCCACAGAAAGCCATCATTAATGCTAAGCTATTAGCAGATTACTTCGCTGACCTAAAATAACAGCAACATCATAAACATGCACTAAGAGGTGCTTAAAGGAACAAAGGGGGCGATGGCTAATATGCTTCCGAGGGACTTGCTTGGCTGCCCAAGGGCTGTGATGGGAACATCTCCCTCCAAGTCTAACACGTTCTTTTCTATCTGCTCCAGGGCTAAATTACATGGCTCCAGAGAAATCCTTTGCAACTGTTTTGCCATTTCATAAAATCAAAATTAAACTGGAGAAACTGTAGTCTCCTGGTGGCAACTGCTTTATACCTCATAGAGTAAGCAGCATAATGAGCCCAATTTCAGAGATCTCTCTGGCTCCTTGATGCTAGACAGAGAAAAGATCAAATATCACTTCCTTTGAGGTACATGGCAAAACATGTAACAGCAGACAAGACTTTCTTTCTAAACACATTCAATAGTCATTCAAATATATATATTTGAATATATATGTATCTCCCACTCTGAGTCATGTTATGCAAGAGAAATGTCAGTAAGATGAGGTTTCCACCCTAAAGAAAAGCAAATGCAGCCAGACGTGCTAATGCACACTTGTAATCCCAGCATTTGGAATGCGGAGACAGGAGGATCACTGTGAGTTCAAGACCAGCCTAGGCAACAAAGTGAGTTCAAAGCCAGCCTGAACTGCATAGTGAAACCCGGACTCAAAAAAGATGAGAAAGAAAGAAAGATAGGTAGATAGATACATAGATAGATAGATAGATAGATAGATAGATAGATAGATAGATAAAATGTGCCAGATACAAACACATGTAACTATAATAATAGTTTGCTAATATACTAGAAGTGCATATGGAAGTTTATGGACACACTCATTCCACCTAGAACACAGGACCTTTTGAGACAAACAGGATGAAATATTTAAAGGATCTGATCATCGCGATATGGTAAAGCTGAATTTCAGTCCTGGTTTTGCTACTTACAGAGCTGTGTTTATTCTACCATATTTATTAAGCATCTGCCCCAAGCCAAGCTCTGGGCTGTGCCCTCTCAGTCAGCCTAAAGTCCTACTGAAACCATGGGAGACAGGGCACCCGGGTGACGCCACGCTATGAATGTCTCCTAGTGAACAATATGTAAGAAGTGACAGGAACCGTTGCTGGGAAACTGAAATTAGCTCAGCGGTCATACGTCATTCAGAGAGCAATACGAAAATCACAGTCAAAAATGGGTAATTTGGAAAACTTTAAACCACAAGTCAATAGTGATTTATCTGGAAAAAGATATTCAACATCCTCCTTTTTTTTTTGACTGAATTTTCTACTTGGTTTGATACAGAAAAATCAGCAACACAAATTCAAGAACTCTGAAGGCCTTAGCACAACAGCGAACATCATCATTAATAAATAAAAACAAAATGTTGAAAACCCAAAACTTACTGTCAACTCCATTTGAACTTTTCAACCTGTATAGAAAAAGTATAATTAGATAATCCTGGTTTAAATCTCTCAGTGATCAAAGAAAAGAAATGGTATTGAAACAACCTGAAATCATGTATATGTATAAAGTACCAGATACATCTTTTCTGTATTTTTATCAACCTACAATTATTTTTCCAGAGAAATGAATGCCAGATATGCGTGTAAGTCACTTACTGCATATACCCTGAGCTAACTGAAAAGTACTTGTGGTTTTTAATTAGCAGTGTGATCACAAAACATATATAAGATTTAACTGTGTTTGTGTTGTTCTTGATCAATTAAACTAAAGGCTTCCTGAACTATGCAAAGCAGATGCCTACAAATGAGTCTCTCAATGTCCTCGGACAAGTCTACAAATCAGTTTCATTAGCCCATGTGGCCCTTAAATGTGCACAGGCTGAAATTAGCTCCCTTTAAATTGTCACTTGCCCTGCTCAAGTGCACAAAGTGGCCACAGGCAAGTCTGAATAAACGCATTCAAAGAATATCTCCAGTATTTAAGGTCCTTAGGGAAGAAAGTACAATTACAATTATTGTTTAATTTCATGCTGCAATAACCCACTACTCTGCATGAGCACAAACTACTGAAGCTTTGGGAGAAGAAAGTCATGTGTCTCTTAAATCTGGAAGCAGGCTGGTGTGGAGACCGTGAGGACAGCTCTGAGAAAGGCCATGTCGAACAGAGAGGCCTGCAATTCGAAGGTCGCCTTCCACCTGCTCCATACAACGGGCCTTCTGCACAGTAGACAGTTTCTAGTTCTGCCCCCAAGGCTGTGTGGTTATTAATCTGATGATATAACTAAGAAAGTGCAGAAAGTAGCACAAATGAAATTAAATCATTGGCCAGACAGGATGGCACATGCCTGATGTCAGCTGCCTGAGAGATTGAGGTAGAAGGATCACATGAGCCCCAGAGTCAGGATCAGCCCATGTTTCTCAAGGAAAACAAAAATAAAGCAGAATCACCTTTGCTTGCTTAGTTTTCAAATTTTATTTCTCTCAGGAGGACACTCGATTCTACTCTACAACCACATGAGTTCTCTACACACTTCTCCCCACCCAATCTTCCTCCTACTCTGCCTCAATCTGTCTCAGAGCTACTGCGAAGACAATTAGGATGTTACTGAAAAACTAAAACTAAATGACAGCTGCTTCATACACTCAAAGGAAGAAGTGTGGAAGAAAGAATTACTTTCACATCTAAAGAATATAATCAGGTCTTAAACCCTTTTCTTTAGGTGAGATAGATTTATTTTCTACTTCTAAAAGTCAGTTCAATCTTAACCTATCTGAAAAGATACAATAATTACTATTCCGATGTGTGTTCTTTCACACTGAAAAGGCAAATGTTTAATTTGCCATAAAAGTATGCGTTTCATTACAGTATTCTTAAAAAGCACTGGGGTGAGATCTTGTTCCCAGAGACTGGAAAAATTAGAGAATGATTTTTTTTTTCATTTTGCTAATAAAAGAATAGCTCCATTTGACACACACTTTTTTCTTCCTTTCCGACCAAATGAACCCCTTCTCCTCATCAGCTTGCAAATTAGAACCCAGAGACTCTTGACCAGGGACTGAGAAATACTCACGGGGAGTTCCTAGCAACGCTGGTGCTTCCGCACTGCCGCAGGGCACTGTTCCTCAGATCCTAGGCAGAAAGAAGGGAAAGGCCATCGCTCAGGCCCGCCATGTACCCCCGCGTGCTCATTCAAATATATAGACATTGAGCTTTCAGTAACGTGTTCCCAAAGCTCCCTCTGCAGCAGGCAGTGCCCTTCCTCCTCTAGTTCAGTATTTCTCTTTTAAAAAACAAAACAAGCCCAAGCTGGAAAGACACATAGTGTTAGCACAGTGTCAGAATTGTTCAACGGGTTGATGATGGACTTTAACAGAATGAAATTACTTTTATGGGAACACTGAAGAAAAAATATGTGAAAGTTGTTACACTCAGAGCACTAAACACACAAAAAGAACTGATGACGTAAAGGAAGAAGAAAGAAGGGCCATGTTGGGTAGCAGCATCAATCTCTGCACTACTGTGTCCTGTCATCAGCTCGCTGCTCCTAGTGACCCTAATTTGAAGCAGCATTACTTAACACCTACCCCCCTATCTTTCCAATTTTTTCAGCTAATATTTCTTGAGACCTAAACACTCTAGGAAGTAGTGTAGGCACTTCTGTAGGTATTCTTTGTAGAGTATTACTGATAATCTCTTCGGATCACATTTGCCTGATTATAGAGATAGGGTTCTAGAGACAGATTGCCTCATGATGGAGATCAGCTACCCTGAGAACCTGCAGGCCTGGTGGGCCCAACACTGGATCTGCAACAACTCTGTTCTGTTCATGCTTCACTAGCTGTGATGGAGGGGAACCTACTACCTTGAGAGCTCTAAGTGCTCTCCCATCCTTGAAAGCTCTAATTGCTAAAAATGTCACCCCCTAAGGGGCTGAGATCTGTGTCCCAGTAAGTACCCCATGTGCATTCTAGATCTACCACTTTAAAAAATGTGGACAATATCCTATTTCTCTCCCACATGCCAACTTTCACACATCTGAAAACAGTTTCAAAAACTCCTGAATTCTTTCTCTCTTCTGCTGGACATCCCCAGAATGTTGGGCAGATGAACAAGGTGCACAGAGAATGAAATAATGGGCAAAGGTTGAGAAATATCAAGCAGGGATTCATCTGAGCAAAGTTCCAAAGATTTAAATTTATTGCCAGGAAAAAGCAGAAGCCAATTAAGGAGTAAAAAGGTAAAATGAATAGTCAATGAAGGGTTGTGGTGCTAAATGTTTTTTACAAAAATGATTCAAATATTTTTACCTCTTGAGACCACGTTAGGTGATCACTGACTTGTACGGCATGCTGCTCAACTTCTTGGGATTTCATCTTCTGGTATATATAAGGTTCTAGACCTTCTTAGAGAGAGAG